GACCTGCCTGGCATGGTAGAACCTTGAGGAACATATGTTCCAGCCAGTATAGCTCGGTTGGGTCATCACGATAGGCAAGCCCGACCACCACGTCAAGGTAGCAGCTTCGGTCGGGAAGAAGACAGAAGACTGCCCTATTTTTATTTAACTCTTTTGAAATGTACCGTCGTATGCTTCTTTACAGCCTATCAGCAATACCATTTTCGGCTTAAAATTTATTTCGACATTCAACAAATGCTTGTTATTATTTGATCAGTCCTGAGAAATGATTTTTTGGGCTGGTTCCTCCTCAGTGTTACAATTTCGATTCCCGTAGTTGCCAATGTTTTTTTACCAAGTATTTTATAATAACTGTAGCAAGCGTTTATTCATTGTCGTTTGTTACCTTCTATTTACTTTAAAGGGTTTTGTATATTATGACAAAGAATATTATAATTACACTATAATAAGCTTTATTCACCAAATGTGGAATAGACTTTGCAAAAATAGAAAAAGATTTGACAATGAGTTATTGTCAACTGGTACTTTTCAATGGTATATCATACGACCGATGCATTGGATATGGACGTATATAATTCGTGGTATCTTGACGTCCATGATTCTGATAATAGTTTGGCCTATATTATGCATTTTGTGTTCGACCACTTCAATATTATTTGGTCTATTGTCAATACCTGTGATACCATTACTATCATTACTCGCCCATTTACTTGGTTTGTTGTTTTGGAATGCATACACACCGGGTAAGTTAATGTTCTGCTCTGATATTTATTCATTTGTTTATTTCAGTAACGAATCTCTGTTCTGTCCGATGCTTTTTCCATGCCACACTAGTGGACGATGTTAACTAGGCATGTGACGTTTGTTATTCTGTAAGCCGATTTTTTTAATATTCAGTGACATCCATTCACATCACATTTAACCTCTACGTGGTTCAATATATTTACATCCATATTGATTGCCCTAATACAAATGGAGTTATAAATCGTTTCGTTTTTGACTCTGATCGAACTAAGAGTTGATGTGGTTTAGCTAGTCATCGTCTATTGGACACAAAAACTGGTGGTTTTAAACCACCGGTTACTCATAATTCACTAATATTTGTTTTAGAAATAAAATAAATCTCAGTTCATTTCAATTTGATTTGATATGTTGCTTTGATTTATAATTCGACCTTATCAGTGAGTAATTCACTCGTTATTGAATACATTTATTTTATTAGTTATCTTATCATGTTCAGTTCTCATGTTTAGTTTATTTTATTTCTTTTTGTTATTTTCTGCTTCAAAAATGCCAGTTATTGGATCTAATCGTCTATTCCCGTTATTCGAGATTATTTTTTACCAATTCTTGTTCAAGTCAGTTCTGCAGTTTTTAGTCAGTGTATCATGTGCATTTATATTATGCCCTATTTGGTTTCTACTTTATCTTTTATTCACTGTAACTAAATATCTACTGTATACCTTGTGGGATGCTTTCGTATTTCACCTTGTGTTCAAACTAGTCACCCGCATACCATGTCAAGAAAATTGTTCTGTAAAACGTACTAACAATCCTGGAACTGCTCGAAGCATTTGCTTACTGGTTAGTTTTCAAAACTGTGAATTACTTGTCATTTATATCGTATTTTTTGTCGACACTGTTGCTTTTCTCTATGTGAATTTTTCTCATTGTTGCCTGTCTCTACATATCCTGTACTCCGTCAGCATAAACACTGAAAAAATATGTTGGGTTTCGGTTATCTGAAAGGTGATATTCCTGCCATCTGTAAGAAAAATCCGTGGCTGGTGAAATACTGCTGTGTCTGGTGCTAGGCAGTTGTCACCGACGATAAGGAGTGGTGGCCCCACAATATTAGAAAATTGATTTAAGTTCGATTTGAAACTACTGTACTTCAGACCAGTCAAGATTAATCTCTTGCAAGAAGGCTTTGAGGTCCTAGGTTTTATCCCTAGTGAGGTAGTGAATGCACCCTGTTGAAGAGTCACGTACCACGACTGAACAGCTGTCCAGTACTTCCTGTGTTTCATTAGCTGTCTCAGATTAGTCAGTGGTATGAAGTATGTACTTAAACAATCTACACAAACCCCCATAGTAAAAACAGTTAAATTTATATTTCATAGATTACTGTGCAGTAGGAATACAGCTTAAAGTGGTGAGATCTTTACCTTTCTCATTACTATTGAATATCGTCACTACTAAAATAATCCGCGCAATTTTTCTATCTTACTCTCGAAATGCGAACCTAGTTTTTATTATTTTTTACTAATTGTGGAATTACCATACATTCAGGAATATAAGTGTCCTCGGAGTCATCCAATATTCCTTGTTAGCATTGAAATGCAGACTTTACATTAGTTCACAAATTCCCAAACTGCTTGTCTGAGCCGTGCAAGTAGGATTCAGAATACCTGGCTGGGGACGTTGATTAAATTGCTTTGAATCGGTCTCAACGTCACAGGCGTATTTTCTCTTCGCTTTAGAACACTCATAGTTATTACTCTACAAACTCCTTTCCCCAATCTCATTGTCTATGACTGGTCTTTTCTAATACTATTAATAATGTTACCACTAGTTTTACTCTCGCGTTTGCCTTGATTATATTTCTCTGTACTGATGTGGTTTGATAAGTTGAATCAGTGTCAATATATTGTCGGTTTCTTCGTTGTTGTCTGACTGATTGAAGTACGTCGATTGTTATTGGTTGTTGCCCATTGACTAGCTTTGTGTTAATCTATGATTTTCATTTCTTAATTATAGGAATAGAAATATTAGCAAAATTGTTTTAGCCATTTGAATGTAATTTCCATTGTCTTGAGGGTTGTTGTCTGTGTGAAATTTCCTATATTTCATCACTTTCATTGTTATTTGGTTAATGACTATCTTTTTATGTGATTTATTATTTATGTAGGCCCGACCTGAAGACGTTTTAATTATACTTAGTGTGAAATTAGAATATTTGGAATTGAATTTATGGAAAAGTCAAATGGAATCTCTGGCTAAAAAACCTATCATTGTGTATAAGTAAGCATATAAAATATTAAATATTCATCATCTAACACTATTAACTATGCTATAAATTACTAATTTTTTGGAGAGCACTTATAATATTGAATTCAAACAGTCGCTTATTGCGCATTGTTTCTTGAGTGTGATTTTTTTTTTAGTTAGATTAACTGTTTTCTGTGACAGAATGAACTATTCTGTATTCTGAATTTCTTTTAAATAATTAATATGACTTTCAATAAGTTTATATCTCGCAGTGATTTAGTTTTTTTTAATAGGGACGCTAAAATTTATGTATTACCAACTGTACTCACACTTGATCTTTCTTGATCTTCTTATGCGTCAACAATAATTTGGAATAAAAATAAAGGTTTGCTTGTAGTCTGTTTGACAATGATTAGGAAGTTTTTTTTACCGTTTACACCCACTAACTGTAGCTTTAAACACATAGCTAGGGTATACGTTAGGGGATTATTAGTCCATACAAATTCCTACGTGTTCCTAGAGTACTATCCGCTTTTACCTTGTTTAATTCAAACTTTAGAGCTTACGTGATCATATGTGCATAGAATAAAAGATCTTGATACATCATAAACAATAAAATCTTATTTTGAACAGTATCGAGATTTTTACAGTATGAAACAATGTACTAGGTTTATGAGTTGTTTACAGTGATTTATGAATGAAGAGATATCGAACAACTTGAGAAATTTTTTTAGTCATCTATTTAGGCGTTTAGGACAAGAGTCTTCTTGTGACAATCACAGGGGAATCAGTCTAACTAATATAGTATCTAAAACATTGGCCTCAGTAATACTTCGACGCTTAACGAAAGCTCGGGAAGAGCAAACTCGAGAAAACCAGGTTGGTTTTCCACCTGGACGTGGTTGTATAGACCACATCTTCACACTCAGACAGGTCCTGAAACACAGACACACATTTCGACGTCCGACAATAGTTATTTACCTGGACCTAAAAGCGGCATTTGACTCTGTGGATCGTGAGGTTCTGTGGCAGTGTCTGTCATTGAAAGGTGTACCAAAGAAGTACATTAACCTCATACAAGCTATCTACTCGAACACTAGAGGTCGAGTGAGAGCTTATGGCGAACTGTCACCGGAATTCTTCACTTCAAGTGGTGTCCGTCAGGGATGTCCACTTTCCCCATTCTTGTTTAATTTTATCATAGACATGCTCCTAGAAATAACATTATCCTCGTCTGAATTTTCTGGAGTAGACCTTCTACCAGGTGGCTCGCTTAGTGACTTAGAATATGCCAATGACATAGTCCTACTTGGTGAAGACGCTGACAAAATGCAGAGTCTTCTGACCACCCTCAGCAACAATGCAAGCATGTTCGGGATGCGGTTTTCCCACTCGAAATGCAAAATGTTGCTTCAAGATTGGGTTGCATCGGCACCTGAACTAGCGATAGGGAGTGAAGTAATCGAACGTGTTGACCGCTTCACTTATCTTGGGAGTCTCATCATTGCTGACGGCCTGGTGACTGACGAAATCTCAGCACGGATACAGAAGTCTCGATTGGCTTTTGCCAACCTGCGTCACTTATGGCGAAGGCGAGATATCCGTTTGCTGACTAAAGGACGAGTGTACTGTACATTGGTTCGCTCTGTCTTACTTTATGGCTGTGAAACATGGCCAGTGAGAGTAGAAGATGTTCGTCGGTCATTGGTTTTCGATTATAGGTGTCTTCGAAGCATTGCTCGTATATCGTGGGACACCCGAGTGAGCAACGCTGTTATTAGGACACGGGTGCTAGGTAAGAATGGCAGATCAATAGATGAAGTAATGAAACTTCTTCAGTTGAGGTGGTTGGGACATGTGCTGCGTATGCCTAACCACCGACTGCCTCGTCGAGCTTTGTTTTGTAGTGTAGGAATAGGTTGGAAGAAAGTTAGTAGTGGCCAAATCAAAACCTGGCAGAAATCCATGAAGTCATTGACGAGTGGACTTAGCCATGTCGGTAATTGTAGACTACTTGGTTGGGGTCCGCGAGATGATAATAATCGATGGCTAGAGACCTTGAATGACATGACTCAAAACCGTTTGCAATGGCGCCGGTGCATGTATTCTTTGTGTTCTCTCAAATCGTAATCTTCTGGATTCTTCAACCCCTCTTGTTTTTACTGTCTTAACTTTTCTCACTGAATCATATTTCTTGCATATCGTCTCATCCTAATCTCTCCGATTACTTTTAATACCTTTACTACCTCTTCTACTATTGGATTTGAATTGACAATCATATCTCTGTGCTGATGTGGTATGGCAGCATGAACTGATGTACTTACGTACGAAGTTCTACGTTGCAACTGACTGACTGACTGATTTAGGCGTTTACACCGTTAAAAGTTACATTTCAGTAAAACCACCAGTTTTGAAATAGATTAAAGTACTTCAGGTTTTTGAGATTTTTGTTCACTTATTTTACGTAACTTTTTGATTAAATTAAAATATTTCTGGAAATTGTAGCAAAGTTTTGCATTTTGAAAAGAAACGTTTCTTCCTAAATAGTGATTATTCTATTTTGATTTTATTATTAGAATATATATATCTATATAATGATTGTAGAGATAAGTAATTAAATAACTATTGTGCTCTTCGACTGTCCAGCTTTGTTGATTTTATTTTTACACATCAAGAAAGCCAACTGAATTGTGAATAAGGTTGGTGGTAGTGAGGCCATTGTGAATAAGGGTAAAAGTCTAGATAAACCATTCAATGTAGATCACTTTTTGGTTTATTCATCTATGAGACTGATTCAAATAAACAAACAAATTGTCAAATTGTCATGTAGAGAGAATTGGCCAACAAATCTTTCTCACCTTTTCACAATTGAATTATTAATTCATCAGTTTTATTTTTTGAAAGAAACTAATTTAACTTCTATTCATTGTTATCTTTGTTATGTATATATATATATATATATATATATATATATATATATATATATATATATTATTCTTACACTGAGTTGGTGAATCCATTTTCATTTCTTTTGATAACCACAAGTAAACAGTTCCTAGTACAATATAGTTAGTCTATATTTGTGAATCTATGCAATTATCGATTGCCATTTGAACAAAATTTAAAATGTTTATATTCTTTTGTATATGACTCAATGAATGTTATTATTGAGGTAACCAGCTTTTTTCACTGTAAAATCACTTTAGCGTAGACGCTTATCTTCGGCATTATGCATTCGAGAATTCGCACGTTCGTTTAGATTCTCCCTTGAAGGGAACTGTTTCTGAGATGAAGGGACAGCACCAGGCCATGACAAGCTAACTCCTGAGATTTTTAAGGAGGGTGGTCCAGTTTTAGCAGTTCGATTGACTGAGGATCTCGGAACTGGGCTTAATCTCATCTGACTGGTCTCAATCCTTGATTGCTTCAGTCTATAAGAAAGGGCGAAAGTCCTTTTGTGACAGAGGAATCAGTTTGACTAATATAGTGTCTGGGAAACTGACTTCAGTAATTCTCCGACGCCTAACTAGAGCTCGTGAAGAACAGACTAGAGAAAACCAGTACGATTTCCGACCTGGACGTTGCTTTATAAACCATATATTCACACTACGTCAGGTCTTAGAACATAGACCTATATATTGGCGTCCAACAATAGTTGTGTTCCTGGACCTTAGGGCTGCATTTGACTCTTTATCCATTGGCTCCATGTCTACTCGAAAACTACCGGTGGAGTCAGAGTTAATGGCGAAATGTCATCGAAATCGATTACTTCAAGTGGTGTCTGTCAGGTCCGTTCACTTTCTCCATTTTAATTTAACTTTGTCGTAGACATGCTTTTAGAATTATCATTATCTTCGTCTGACTTTTCAAGGATGAACATTCTCTCAGGAGACTGGCCTGTTAACTTAGAATATGATGATTCTACTTGGTGAAGGTGTTGACGAAATGCAGAGTCTTCCGACCACCCTAAGTAACAATGCAAACATGTTCGGGATGCTATTCTCCCCGCCAAAATGCAAACTGTTACTTCAGGATCGGCTTGCATTGCCACGAACCAGAGATGAAACGAGGACGGGAGGGCGGGTGAAGGAGGGGCGACACAAGGGAGAAAGGGAAGCGCCAGCTAGGGTGCCCGCAGAACGACAGGAGGGTGTGGGTGGGATGCGGAAGTCGGGGAGTAGATGGCAACGGGAGCAACTGTAGGGACGGAAACACGATCGGAAAGGCAAGAAGACGAGTGCTTTAAGGGCAAAGGAATAGCGACGAGAAGGAAAGTAGTAACACAGGGGGGATACGAGCAGCCCATAAGCGACACAGGGCGGGGCATGGGTAAGCCTCAAGTGGGTCCTGACGGGTTTCACGCAGCAAGTAAGCGGGCATTGAGTCGGGCCCACAATCCACAGGTCACCAAGCTGAAGAACAAAAGGGGCACCTGAGGCGACTAAAGTTGGGTAAACAGGCCCAGGCGCCGGCAGGATCCTCAGGCCCAAAACCACCTAGAGAAGGGGGGTGCACATCTGGGATAACGAGAAAGACGGGACCATTTGGAAGATGCTGAGGCCAAAGGAAGTAAGGCGAAAAAGCAAAGGGGGCGACAAGACACAAAGGTGTAACGGAAAAAGGGAATGGAGGGAAACAGTAGAAAAGGAGCACCGGACGGTAGAAAACAACTGGGGGAAGGAACTTACGGAGGCGCGATGGAGCAGATAGCGACCAGAGGAGGAATACGCGGACCGCCACACGGGAGGTGGTGTCCGAGGGAGACAGGAGCCAAGGGAAGCCCCAAAGAGGTACAAAAGGCCAGCAAGAGACGACCATCAAGGGCCACGGAACCAACCAAAACGGTAGGGTGGGGACGAACAAGGATAAAACGAGGGCCGAGGGCGCCCCTTTAAAGCACCCGGACGGCAGGCCGATGGAACGGGAAATTAGAGTTGATGTGGTGGGAGAAAGCAACGGCCAGGGCGTGAATAATCGTAACGTGCGGTGGCGCGCAGGCGGGTGCTGACACACCAGATACAGAGCATATAAGTGGAG